GCCCCTCCCTCCCCCCCCCCCCGTTACCTGGCCACTGAGGGAAGTGGCCAGTGCATGGACTGCAGTCTGTCATTGAGATGAGTGGTTAGAATGGGGACTGCAGATTGTCATTTGAGGTATGTGGTAGGACTGTGGACTATCAGTCCCCTGGAAGCAGGGAAAGAACTGAGATGGGCACAGCTGGAGGGCTGTGTCCAGAAGAGGATGAAGCGGTCTGGGGAGCAATGCATGTCCTGAATGCAGAGACAGGAGTGATGATGGGTGAGACACCACCTGAGGAGGGCGCACTGGCAACCCTGAGCTAATTCCTAGGAAAGCCAGCAGGAGGTGCCGTGGTGGTGAGTCAAACCCCATTACAGGTAGAGAACCACATCCTTACACCCGCAAGAAAGTCCTGCTCTCTCTGAACCTGTCCACAAGGGTTTGAATGTCCTGCACTTAGGAAGGAAGAATCCCATGCACTGCTACAGGCTGGGGACTGAGTGGCTAAGCGGCAGTTCTGCAGAAAAGGATGTGAGGATTACAGTGGATGAGAAGCTGAATATGAGTCCGCAGTGTGCCCTTGTTGCCAAGAAGGCTAATGGTATATTGGGCTGCATTAGTAGGAGCATTGCCAGCAGATCGAGGGAAGTGATTATTCCACAGAGGCTTTGAAGGCCCGGCTTGACAAAGCCCTGGCTGGGATGATTTAGTTGGGGTTGGTCCTGCTTTGAGCATGGGTTCAGACTAGATGACCTCCTGAGGTCTCTTCCAACCCTAATCTTCCATGATGCTATGAGCCCCCTGCCAGTCATTGAATGTCTCACCAGCACTCTTTTTGCTTTGTAACTAAATTCACTGGTGTGAACAGGCCATTGCTCTGGTGGAATCGGCACAGCTGGGCGGATTTACACCAGATGGATATCTGGCCAGTTGATTTGTACGTCACGGCTGGGGTGATTAAAACAAAGCCATTGTCTCCATTACACCCCAGCTCTGGGACCAGTTCCCTCCCGCAGCTCCCAGGGCTGTCTCCGCCTCCTTACCAGCCCTCACAGCCCTGTCCCTGTCACTTCTCTGCCACTCACCATGATAGCCTTGGTGGGTCCATCCCCAGCTATAAGAGCACTCCCCCGCCCCCTGCCAGTTCCCCACCTGGCACCCCTATTCTCCTTAGGGGCAGCCTGGACACCCAGCAGTCTTTCCTCCCCTCCCCCCATGACACAGCAGGTGGGGATGAGGAGACTCCAGGAGACACTGGGGTAACTTTAGGCGTGTGGATTGTTCCCTCTGGGACCACAATATAAATAGCTGCAGGGCTGGTGGGCCCCGGCCCCGGCTGGCAGCAGGGCCAGGTTCCTCTGGGGCTCGGTGAGCCTCTGTCTGATTCATTCGCGCTGGAGGTTTCTGTCTGTTCGGGCAGGAGAGAAGGAATCTGGCCAGGTCCCTCCTACGTCCCGTTTCTGGCCCCCTGGGAACTCCACGGCGGGGACTACGTTCCCAGTGATCACTAGAGGGCACTGGCTAGTGTGGGGCGGCGACGGCGACGGCTGCTGCTCCTGCTCTTCTCTGCCTTTAACTCTTTGTTCGCTTAGGAGATCTGAAATTTTAACTTCCTGGGTCATGATCTTAAACGCTGCTGCTGCCGCCTACATTGTGAGCCGGGGTTGAGCCGTTGCTACTCCTCAGCTGGGTGAGTCCTTCCCTAGCGCCCCTCTGTGCCCAGCTGGGGGGACTTTCGCCGGGGGCTGAAACCAGCCCCTGAGGCAGCCCCGGGCTCTGCCGACACCAGCCCCTGAGCCGGAGCCTGCAGGTGAGGGGACAGACCCGGGGGAAAGGGCTGGGGCCGGTGTATCAGCACAAAATGCAACCCTCCCCTTTTGCAACGGTGTATCAGCACAAAATGCAAC